CTAGCAGCATGGGTAAAGAGAGGCACCCTACCTCCACCCTTAGAATGGCAGGTCTCAGGATAGGGGAGGCCCAGCAGGAGGGACAAGCAGAGATGGAGTTTGTGACACTGGACAACACAGTAAGCACTAACAGTGCCGGAAAGGTGGTAGAGTGGAGAGGAGCCAGGCATGACTCCTTTTTCAACATGAATATGTATGAGTTTCCCTAATAAAATACCCCTGTCTCCTTTGTTTATGGAAACCAGTGCTTTGGGAGTTATCCCAGTACTCTTCTTACTTATACAAGTAACAAACCTTTCTTCACTCATTTATTGCCCTGTGTGCTTACTGGCTTTGCATTCATCCAAGGATGAATTCACTGTGCCCTGCTACAGATTAAAATACTAATGCTATTTTATATGCATTAAATATAAAGTGGTCCTCACTAAAATACTATGAATAAAGTTGTTACCTGTTAAGGTTATCTACATGAAAAAAATTTTTTTAATATGATTTATATATTGTTTTTTAAAAAAGAAAAGAAACTACAAAGAAATTTTTGTGGGAGTTACTTTTAATCTTCTTTTCATTTTGTATTATTTTTTTACACTTTATTCACTTTGTATCCCCCCATAAGCCCCTCCCTCCTCCCCTCCCTATCCCACCCTCCCTCCCCCTTCTTCATGCATGCCCCTCCTCAAGTCCACTGATAGGGGAGGTCCTCCTTTCCTTCCATCTGATCTTAGTCTATCGGATCACTTCCAGAGTGGGTACATTGTCATCTTCTGTGGCCGGGTAAGACTGCTCTCCCCTCAGGGGGAGGTGATCAAAGAGCAGGCCTATCAGATTGTGTCGGAGGCAGTCCCTCTTCCCATTACTATGTAACCTACTTAGACACTAAACTGCCATGCATTATATCTGCGCAGGGGTTCTAGGTTATCCCCATGCCTGGTATGCCTGGTACTTGGTTGGAGTATGGGTCTCTGGGAAGACCCCTGTGTTCAAATCTTCTAGTTCTGTTGCTCTCCTTGTGGGGTTCCTGTCCTCTCCATAACCTACTATTTCCCACTTCTTACATAAGATTCCATGCACACTGCCCAACAGTTGGCCATAAAGTCACAGCATCTGCTTTGATAGTCTGCAGGGCAGAGCCTTTCAGAGGCCGTCTGTGGCAGGTTCCTAGGTTGTTTCCTGCTTTCTTCTTCTTCTGATGTCCATCCTCTTTGCCTTTCAGGATGGGGATTGAGCGTTTTAGTCAGAGTCCTCTCTCTTGATTAGTTTCTTTAGATGGATAGATTTTAGGTTTATCCTATAAGTCTATATGAGTGAGTATATACCATGTGTGTCTTTTTGCTTCTGGGACAGCTCACTCAGGATGATCCTTTCCAGCTCCCACCATTTACCTGCAAATTACATGATTTCCTTATTTTTCATTGCAGAGTAATACTCCATTGTGTAGATGTACCACAATTCCTGCATCCACTCTTCAGTTGAGGGGCATCTGGGCTGTTTCCAGCTTCTGGCTATTACAAATAAAGCTGCTACAAACATGGTTGAGCAAATGTCCTTTTTGTGTACTTGCGCCTCTTTTGGGTATATGCCTAAGAGTGGTATAGCTGGATCTTGAGGAAGTGCTATTCCTAGTTGTCTGAGAAAGCGCCAGATTGATTTCCAGAGTGGTTGTACAAGTTTACATTCCCACCAGCAGTGGAGGAGGGTTCCCCTTTCTCCACTTTCTCTAATGCAAACAAATGTTCATTATATCTGTGCATCAAGTGCATTCCTGGTATCCTTGAAGCCCTGCAGATACTGTTGGATCCCTGGGTTTGGAGTTACAGATGACTGTGAGTCACTATGTGGGTGTCAGTACTCTTCAACTGCTGACCCATCTCTCCAGCCCAAGAAACAGTATTTTAAAAGAGAAAAATAAAGGACTGCAAGAAGATACAAAAAAGATTTGAAGAGAAGATAGGAACCTCCCACAGAATAAAAGAAACACACCACATGAACAGTAAAGCTCTGATGGCTAACATAACTGTAAAGCAAACAGTGAAACACTATGCTGAAGTGTGTGAAAGTTCAAGCCATAAAAAGACCTGCTCTATTAAGACATGGTGAGTAGAAAAGTATGGAAGGGTCCATATAAGACCTAACTACACAAGACATGCCCATATATAGAGATGTACGCAGAACTCTGCTCATAAGTACATGAAGAAGTTTGACTATTTTATTGCCTTTGTCTCAGCACTTTCTATTTGTTTTACTTTCAAGAAAGAAAACAGTAGAAATAAATGGTCTTACTTCCTCACTATGCCTTTTATCTTCCCACCTCCTTAGAATTTGAATATGTGGTGGTTAGAATAAGAATGGCACCCATAAACTCATATATTTGAATACTTTGTTACCAGTTGGTGGATCAGTTTGGGAAGGATTAGGGGGTGTGGTCTTCTTGGAAAAGTATGACACTGGGAGCAGGCTTTGAGGTTTCAAAAGATTAATTTAATTCCTGGTGCTTTTTATCTACCTTATGATGGTAAATCAAGAGATGAACTCTCAACTGTTCTTTCACTCTGCTATCATAAACTCTAACCCTCTGAAATGTTAAGCCAAATTAACTGCTTTCTTTATAAGTTCCCTTGGTCATGGTATTTTACCACAGTAATAGAAAAGTCATCAAGACAGAGTATCATCTTCTTCAGTAGCACAGTGTGGAAGGGACTGGATCTAGGTGTGTCAGCTTGGAGGGAAACAATACACCAAGTTGTTGAGTGACAGTATTCCTGGAGAGGCATAAGCAGACATGTACTCACCCCAAATAGGAAACCAACAACAGATGAAAGTATGTAACTAAAGTCCAACTTGGTGAGCCATTGGTTTTTGCTTGGGTAGTTTACAGCAGTATGAATGAGGAGAACAGAAGTGAAAGCTCAGGTGGTGATAGGTTGGAGAAATGAGTAGTGACTTAAAGAATGTCAGGTAATGATCCCCACCAATGGATGCTTTCATGATCCATCAGCTACCAAGGGTCGTTCAACAACAACGTATTCAAAAAACATAATCTATATGTCCAATATGGGGCACCTTCAGTTCACTTCCAGTAAGATTTTTGGTCTAAAGATGTTAAAGATTCCCTAGAAGAAAATTGCAACAGGGTGCATTCAGGGTGACTAGCCAGAGCCACATCATTTTTTGAAGCTCCTTAATTTTCGCAAGAAATGACAATGACAATTCCCCAAACTAAAGTAACTTTTTTTTTTTACATTCTTGTTCTTTCCATCCCATCAACCCCACTAATAACTGATCAGGAAATATATTTACCTATCACCTAATATTTCTTATGTCATTACCCATTTCCCTAGCTACCCCTAACAACAGTCACCACAACCCCCAAAAGAAAAATGTCTTTTTTTTTCCTCTTTTCCTTTTTGTCCTTACAACTACCCAGCCTGTAAGCAATAGCAGCCTCTCTAGTTTCTTAGACTACAGTTTTCTACTCCTCTGTCCCTTCCCAAATAAAGCCTACACTATCCTAGAGTTGCTTATTTCTGCATCTGCCTTCTGACATTACAATGGTGAGCAAGAAGAACAGACAAAGGTTTGTGACAAACTCTTAAGTCCTGGGACCACACAATGTAGCCACACCAGGACAGGACAATTGTGTAAGGTCACCTTGTTGTCTCAGGGGCTGAAGATGCACCTGACAATGCTATCTATTTCAAGTTCTCGTTGGTGGTTTATTGTGCCTACAGATGAACATAACGATTTTTTAACTGACTTTTATCTCCACAGTATCTGAAAAGAAAATCACCTATCAATCCTAACTGTTAATTAGTAGATTCTTGAAATTGTCTAATACACAGATTAATAGTCACTAAAGTTTAATGTTTCCATTTCCAGTCCTTTTTTCTAGCTCTTCTTGCTTTATTGCACAATCTCTGACTAGTAGGACACGTTCATAGATAACACTGTCTTGTGTATAATGTCTTGTGTTTTCTCTTAGGAGAAAACACTTAATGTTTCACACCTATGTATAAAGCTTATTCCAAATTTTACAGACTCTCAGCATTCCTTAAATTCTGGATTCCTAAAGATCTCATATGTTCTGTTCCAGATGTGACCACTAGAAATAACAGCCGTGAGTTAGTTCAAAATTCTCAAACCCACATGTTGAAACATGAACCACACTGAGTCACTAGAGGATAAAACTTAACAGAAAATGAATTCCAAGCTGAGAAGGAGGTTCATACAATGTGGGTTGAAGGAAGAAGGGGCTATGAGCCTGGCTAGCACTCTCCTTGCATTGCCAGCTTTCCTGTACTGATCCTTGTTCCCAGCAGACTATGACACAATACATGGGTTATCTCTAGGGGATAGAGGGACCCCATGAGGCCTCAAGAAAAACAGGGAAAACTCCCCCATCAGCATCCTGATGGTAGAACATACAACCTTCAGCGCTAAACTGAGTATTCTTGGACCCTGAGCTGCTTGTGGCAGGAAGTCTCTGTTCTTACTTTTGCTTTTTACAACAGGATTCACAGTTCCTATCCTAAGCCAAACAATCAATGACACAGCAGTTGTTCTAGGGATGGGGTCTTGGTGTTGGCTGTGAGTTAGATACAAGTGGAGACTTAAATCCTTGCACAAGCCAAGTACCAGAAGCCATGCAGACTGTTCAAAATGAATAACTTCTGCATTTGAAGATAATAAAGGCAACAACTCAGTCTTTTGGTGGCTTGAAGTTCCTTTGAATAAATGAAACTTTGAGAGGGTAGGAGCCCTCATCTGGGCTCCCCAAACAGGCAGTCACTCATCATGTGCTGTGTACTCTGCAAATCCTGGTCCCCAGCCCATCATTGGCCTCTCCATGTTCCATATCAAGCTGTCCAGACTCAGTTCACATTTTTTTTCTTAGATATAAAAGCAACAGCTGGTTTCATGCTCTGCTTCTTAGGAAGGAAGAATGAGCCTATATGGGTACAGGCTGAGGTTGGCCTTTCAACACACAAGAACATACCACTTACCATTGTGGCAGTAAATGGGATGTTGTCAATCAAGGACGAAGCCAAGGCTGAGACCCACACTATTAGCACAATGGCAGCTGCGAAGCGCTGATCTTCTGGGACCATCTAAAATGAGCAGATAATGGCCACACTATGCATTAACCACTGCACTGTTAAACCACATACATAGAAAGAATCAAAAGATTGAAAGCCCTTTTTCTGACACATGACAAGACCAAGGTAAGAATAGACATGCACAGCAGAGCCATAACTATACCAGGAACCTTGGTCATAGTAATGGAGAGTAGCCATTCTTAGCCAAATAGCTCTGCAGGCGGAGGAAAGTGTATTTCTTACTCACATCCGGTGGCCACACAGATTGGTCCCTCCTGCTTGATAACCCAGCAGAGTCCTAAGATGGGAATCTCTGCAGCATTTGCTTACTATGCACTGCCCCGTTTTAGACATATTTTAACTAAAGGCCAAGGCAAGATAGCAAGCAACTATTGTTACATATTCTCTGACAAAAGTATCCCCTTCATCTCTAGGCTATCCAGGATAAAGTAGTATCCCATCAGTGCTTTTGATATAATTAATGTAATGGGTTTTTTTATTCTTTTAACAAAAACCAAAGAATAATGGGTAGAACATACTCTCTTAGAACATTTAATGTACCTTTATTAGCAAGGCAGTCTGTTCTCCAACATACTCTACTAAGTGAAGATGTGTCAATGCCTAGAAGAAAAGATGCGTTTAAAATGAGACTAAATACATATTTCTTTTGCCATTCAAAGAAGAATATGAGGTAGGAACAGATTATCCTTTATAAGACTGTACTCCTTAACACAGTCTGTAAATAGTTTGCTATTATATATACACGGTGATGCACAGAGGAAAATGTACAATAGCAGAGGCAGAAATTCTTCAAAGACTTGCCTCAACATCTATGGAAAATTTAAATATGGACAGAAGGCAATTCCTTTATTTTGAGGTCTATATGGAAGATACCAAATTGATTACATACAAAAAAATGTGGATTCGCAAATAAGGACTTTTAAGTAAGCTACATTTCCAATGTATTTTAAAAGCTTGAGTTTAAAAAATGCAGTTCTTACAATCCTTAAAGCAAGATAAGGAAAAGTACATCTCGAAAGGCACATGACCATGTTCACAACATGAGAGATGTGGAAGATAAACGAGGTAAGATGATGGAAGCGCAGAGATTCCGCTCACACCAGTCTCAGTATCAGGCAGAGGACACAGCCCTGGGAGAGGACAGCAACCCGGCTACCCTATTACCTTTTTAATATGTTTCATTTTCACTGGGATTCCCACTAAAGGAAGATTGATATTAAAATATCAACTTGAATGTGTGTAAATTTAAGTTACAGAATCCTGATCTATATGTACAGTTTCCAGTTGAATTTTGTTTGAAGAGGGTAAAGCTGTAACTTTAAACACAATCTCAATCAACTTAGTTTGTTTTATTTAAAATGGACTCTTCTCATAAAATGCACTCTGACCACAGTTTTCCCTCCCTCCCCTCCTCCAAGATCCTTCTACACCCCTTCTTTCCCCCTAGATCTGTTCCGTCCCCTGATTCCTTTCAGAGAAGAGCAGACCTTCAAGAGAAAACAACCAAATGCAACAAAAAAATACAATAAGACAAGGCAAAAAAAACCCTCATATTGACGCTGGTCAAGGCAACCCAAAAGGATAAAAAAGGTCCCAAGGGCAGGCAAGAGTCAGAGACACACCCGTTCTCTTTATTGGGTTCTTTCCCTTGGAGCTAAGGGAACCCAGAGGAAGACTGTAGGAGTCAGAGGGGATGGAGGACACCAGGAGGACATGCCCGCTGGATCAACTAACCAAAGCTCATATGAGCTTACTGAGACTGAAGCAGCAAGCATGGGGTCTGGAAGGATCTGCACCAGGTCCTCTGCACACACGTCATGCTGCTGTCTTGAGTCTTTCTTGGCGGGGAGGGGAGGAATGGACTCGATCAACTTGATTTTTAACATTAACTAGATCAGAAGGATAATCTACCCATAGCAAGGCCACTCAGCTTCAGTGTTACCAACATTCAGAGCCTGTCAACCTTATCATCAACTTGATGGGATTTATAATCACCTCAGTGACATTATCACTAGGAATGTCTGTGAAGATATTCCAAACAGATATAATTTAGAAAGGAAAAGCCACCCACTATTCCATGGGCTGGGGTCTCAGACTGAATAAAAAGTAGAAAAAAACAAGTTGAGTACCAGCATTCATCTCTCTCGCCTTTCTAACTATGGATACATTGTGGCCATTTCTCTCATGTTTCTGCCACCATGTCTAAAGTCACTGCTGCCACTTTCTCCATTATGACACCTTAAATGGTGAGTCAAAAACAAACTCTCCCTTCCTTAAGTTGTTTTTGCCAAGGATGTTGTTATAGTAATGAGAAAAATAATACAGAAGTTTGGTATGGGGCAAGTATTAGGACTGTTGTGGTATTCATTATACTTATTCTTGCTGTAACAACAACAAATCATCAAAAGTAAAGCAAAAGGGCAGAGCTGATTTGGGCCTAGAGTCTGAGATATAATCCATCGTGGCAGGTAAAGCATGGCAAGAGGAACATGAGGAACTTGGTCATCCTACATCCACACTCAAGAAGTAGAAAGAGATGAATGCCAATACTTCGTTCTAGTTTACCTTTAATAACAATTTAGGGCCTCAGTGCATAAAATGGTACTAACCACATTTAGAGTGGGCCTTTCTTTAGTTAAACTGTTCTGAAAATACCATGATGGCCATAGTGTTTCTAAATCCAGTCAAGTTGACAGCGTTGTGTTTAGGCATTTGCAAGTGCCTTGTAGAATAATGTCAAACACTTTACAGCTGAGACCAAGGAAGCCCTTGAATGCTACAAGCATTGATAGGCCATTCTAGTGGAACTGTGAAATACTAAGATGTCAAAAGCAACAGAGATTGTTGAATGTGCCCATGGGGTACCAGGGAGAACAAGACTCTACCATGAAATGGGTTGAAGGTCATTTGTGTTTCATTATGGCAAAAATTCTGACTGTTTCTGCCTATATCCTGAAAACTTCAATGAAGCTGATTTAAAGGTAATAGATTAAGTTGTTTCTTGGAAAAATTTCAAGAGAGAGAGTACCCAGGACTTGGTGGGGTTAACAATTGCTGCTCTTGGTAGATTTACAGTGAAAAAAACAGAAATACATGAAAAATATGCAGCTTAAAGAGGAAAGAGTCTAAGGAAGTTTAGAGTTGCAGACAAGATGGGTGAAGAAAAAGTGGCTATAATTTTTAAGGAGATGAATAAAGTAGCACTAAAAAGAAACCATTCCCACTACATAGGGACAATAGGGATGGCTCCAACTTGTAAAATTGCAAGTGCATTTGAAAGAAGAAAGCCTGACATTAAAATACCACTAAGCTGGTTTCTTTTTTCAGAAAGAACAATTTAGGGACTCATTTTCCCAAGTTTAACCATTAAGGTACAGAGAGGCTACTATGATAGTGTCAGGTTACCACCCTATATCTAAGCCAGCAGCAAAACTTGACATCTTGACCCACATGGTGCTTGTTTTACAAGTATGCAAAATTCAAGACATAAAGACTTGTGGGGGCTTCCACTAAGGTGGAAAAAAAACATGCTGAGGCCAAGCATTATGGCTCAGGGCAAGATTCCTGCAGAAAGGCCTTGAAGGCCTGAATTATAAATGGCAATCCCAAGATACTGAAGTTACCAGGACCGTGGATATCTACCAAGGAAAGCTACAGGCATAAAGAGGAGCCAGCCCAAAAGAGAAGTTCTGGGTTGTTCAGGTGGCAGCACTGCAGAGGCGGAGTTCCTCAAGATGGCTGGAGCCCAAATGATTCTGTCTTAAGGCCCAAGCGCCAGAGATGGAACTGCAGCATGTGGTTTTTTCTTCCCTTTTGGAATCGGAATGTTTACTCTGTGTCTTTGAATATTGTAAGTATATAGTTTATTACTTTCATTGCTGTTCCTTGGTTGCTTTTGACCTTGCAAAAGCTCACAGTTAAGACCTGGCCTGCATCTCAGTAAAGACTGTGCACTTAGACTTTTGGACAATGTTAGAGCTTTAAGACACTGCAGATTCTTAGAGATGCCCTAAATACATTTTGTAATTATTAAATGAGCATGAAGATTGGAGACAAAAGTGAAATATTAAAACATGAAGTATTGAATTTGGGTGTCAAGTTGACAAGGAAAAGGCTTATGATAGTTAATCTTCATGCTAGCTTGACAGGGTTTGGATATAGAAGTCAAAACTCTGGGTAAGCTTGTGAAGTGTTTTCAGAGAGGTTTTACTAAAAAGTGAAGATCAACCCCAAACAAGAGAGCTAGCATCCTGTTGATTAGGTCCCTCACTGAATAAAAAGCAGAAAGTGACATGAGCATCAGAACCCATCTCTGTCTGGTTCCTCACTGTATACCATGTGACCAGTCCTACACACTGTCAGTCGCAGCTACAACCACCTGTCACCAGAATTCCCCTGCCAGGGTAGATGTTACTTTTAAACTATGAGACAAATAGACCACTCCTGCTATAGGTTGAGTTTCTGAAGTATTGTGTCATAGTGAGAAAAGCAGCTAATACAGAGCCAGGTCACTCCTTGCTCTGTGGTGGATTTGTGCTTCGCAAGATGTTGTGGTGTGTCCCCAGTCTTGCACAGTGGGTGATAGTAACACTTCTACCGTTTCCATGTGACACCAGAAATGTCTCAGAACACAGGCTGAGTCTCATAGGAGAATAAAATAGGTCCCTGTTACTACCCAGTAAGCTACAATAGTCCAGTTTAATTAAACAATAATATGCATTTAAAAAATTAAGTGCAGCTAAAGCTTTTGTTTTGTTATATGGAACCATTGACTAAGAAAAACCAGATGTCTAACAAAATTTTCTTCCAGATGACATAAAAATATGGCCATGTATGTATATTTCTTCACAATATGCAGCACACATTTTATGTGTACATGTAGATTCCTACATGTCATATAAAATCTCAAAACCTATGTGTGTAGCTGCTACACCCACTCCAGCATCGTCAGTGTAGCATATCAATAGATTGTGCTACTAGACGGGACATACGTTTCCCTCGGGAATAGGCTCCCTGGAGGTTACTGGCAAAAGTACCCCACCATGGCCACCTAAGCCAAAAAGACATATTCTGAGAGTCCCATGCTTCCTCGGTTGCAGGGTTGGATTGATGAGCTTTTTTGCTGTTTCTCTATGATTCTTGGAACAGCACAATTAACTATTCAAGGAAACATATCTTTGATAGATTATTAAAAGCTTTAGCAAGAATAGAGTGGAAGAAAAATAAAATTTTAAAAGAAGTAATGAATCAGATTCAGTATCAGAGCATTACAAGAATAGTGAAAAAATAGTGGGCTCCTCTTTAGGAAAAGATAGCATAAAAAAGTACAGCTGGCTCGAGCGTGTCCCCCTTGGTGTCTTATTTCTAAGGAGGATCGTAAATCTTTAGCAAGACCTATGGGAGGATGGTTAACAAAGGCGTATTTAGACTTTAATGCAGAGAAAGATTTTGGCAGGTATCCGACTTGGCTCAAAGGACTGTAACAGCCCCTGACTTTTCCCTTCACTAGTCGGTAATAATGAAATTGCATGAATAGCCACGAGTGCGAGGTTTTTTGTTCTTTGTTTGCTTTGATCAAAAAGTCCCTAGGCCAAGATTTC